CGTGGTTCAGCAAATATTGCTTCTGATATTAGGTAACACACATTGAAATAGTTCAGCACATACCTTAAGTAGAATTTTGGCATCCGACTCGGCATAGATTTGTTGCTAAAACTACTGACGCTGCCTTTAAATCCTTGATATGGGTCTTGCTCAAAACCAGATTACTAGGATTTTTTGACATCGAACGGATTTCCGCAGGGATAAGGGTACTAAAATTCACTTGTCATAGGTACTTACAGTTTTGCTTGTGAACAAATGAACCACAGATGGAGGAAGGTACATAGAACTTGTAGGAGGGTAATAAAGGTAGAGACAAAGTTTAGAGATAGCAGTGAACAATAAAGGGAAGTTTCATTTGTATGATTTAGTTTGCATTTCGAAATAACAACATTAAATCATTTATTAGTTTAGTTTGTGTAGGTATGTTTACATCTCGCGATAACCTAAAAGCGAAAAGACAAACATTGATTGAATTGACTTGACTGTGACGTCAACTAGCTATCCGGCACGAAGTCACGACGGCAGGGAATTCAAAATTCTTAGAAACCAGTTGTTAATAGATAAAAAAACAAACCGGAAAATGAGTGATTAACGCAAATCTATGTTTTAATCTCAGTTTCTCTCCAAGCGTGGAAAAGAGGGTCGTGATTCAGAATTCACCGGCCGGGATTCACTTGATTCACTCTGTTTACTGATGACATAGAATAATAGCTACTTATTTATTATTCTAAAGATGATGATGAGATTCTTTCCAAGGGTTCAGACAATTTTTCAAGACAAATTTACATGGAGCAGCGACAGAGCAGCGAACTGACACCATGACACTGGCAGCACTGGCGGTGCGTCGTGAATGGTCGTGAATTGAATGAAACAACGACTTTGATCAGTTGAACTTTCCTAAAAATTAATAATGCAAAAACACGTTCTAAATTCAAGGAATGATGCCTATGCACTGGTTTAAACCTTTTGAAATGATTTGCAATGATTTTCATAACTGTTAAGTGCACATTTATATTTAATGCGGATGGTCGATGAAGTCAAAATTTCGAGGCACGAATGTGATACGGCGCGGGTGATTTGAAAGAGTGGCCAAAAAACGGCAGAAAATTAGGGATTATTATTTAACTGCGTAATGAATTAGCTCCAAATTTCGCCTGTAGGCGAGGAATAAAATATGCTTGCCAGGGTGCAAAGGGTTTTGAGTTTTGTTAAGTTTTTGCGGAGATATTTCAAAATAACGCAAAAGTTGAACGGGTTCGTGTAAGATACAGTAGCGGCTCCCATTCTCGTTGTTGGAGATCTCTGTAGGCTTGACGGGGTCGCTACCGCTCCTAGTAATAGGCTCGTTAATTATCTAGTTTACACCAGCCCGTTCCTAACCCAAGTAGCATTTCTCAACGGAAAATCGCTATATATTGCGATTTTAACGGGGATAAAATCGCTGGGATCATCAACATCTGTGCGATTATCCTTGATCGTATCGCGATAAAATCGCGCTTTCATCGCCCGACAATTTATCGCATAATTTATCGCGTTATTTTCGAAATAAAAATCGCGACAAATGACGATTTAGTCTCGATTTTATCGACAAAAATTGATCAAGATTTTATCGAACCAAAAATCGCTATTTGTTGCGATTTAATCGCCATATATTGCTATTTTTAACACGATAATATCTCGATATATTGCCACCGATATAATCGCGATAACCAACCGATAAAATCGCTATTCATCGCGATCACTGCTACTTGGGAATTCTGTGTCTCAATTTAATGCCTACAATTTTAACATGTAGGCCTCATGCTCTACCCTAAAACCAAAAGTGCTTTATTCCCCCTCTAGTATGTATACCTCAATGAAAATCGTACCCATGCCGTGAGTGGTTGTATTTTGTTCAACTAATCATCAGTTATCGCAAATAATTACGTAATTAACAAAATTTTCAAATCGTAAACTCGTTGAGCGGGAAAGAGACGCACAAACTGTGAAAAGTCCAAAAGTACGAGGGGCGTTCAATAAGTTAGTATCCCCCTCTCTAAAATCAATAAGAATGGACCAATTTTAAAAAAACTTGAGCTCTGCATCTTCCTTAGGATATATACTGAGTTCAACAAAAGAAACCGCATTAAAATCGGACTATGTGCGGCCGAACGCGAGCCGTTTGAACGCGCCGAAGTGCTCGACGCTCCCGCCGGATCCGCGGGGATTTGCAGTCCGCGACAGGAGAAGAGCTTCTCTGCCAAAGCCTCAGTCGTTCATCACTGACGAAAAATCAAAGAAGTTTTTGTAGAATAACGGGCTTACCTCACTTCTCCACGTAACCACCTCTATCCAAGCAAGTCTGATACTGAGACTAAGAGAACAACTTTTGGATGCCACGCGCGTAGAAGTCTTTCAGCTGACCGGGGATGAAGGAGTGGACGGCTTGTTTGACCTCTTCCACTGATTCAAAATTAACTCCCCCGAGTTCAGATTTCAGAAACGGTAAAAATGGCAAACCAGACAACCATTTAATCCCGTTTCTGAAATCTGAACTCGGGGGAGTTAATTTTGAATCAGTGGAAGAGGTCAAACAAGCCGTCCACTCCTTCATCCCCGGTCAGCTGAAAGACTTCTACGCGCGTAGCATCCAAAAGTTGTTCTCTTAGTCTCAGTATCAGACCTGCTTGGATCGAGGTGGTTATGTGGAGAAGTGAGGTAAGCCCCTTATACTACAAAAACTTCTTTGATTTTTCGTCAGTGATGAACGACTGAGGCTTTGGCAGAAAAGCTCTTCTCCTGTCGCGGACTTCAAATCCCCGCGGATCCGGCGGGAGCGTCGAGCACCTCGGCGCGTTCAAACGGCTCGCGTTCGGCCGCACATAGTCCGATTTTAATGTGGTTTCTTTTGTTGAACTCAGTATATCCTAAGGAAGATTCGGAGACCGAGTTTTTTAAAATTGGTCCATTCTTATTGATTTTAGAGAGGGGGGATACTCACTTATTGAATGCCCTTCGTAAATGCCGCACTATGTTATGCAAATATACTGGATTCTAATTTTACTGCAACCCTTGCGCTTCACGTTCGTGCAATGTAGTCACCGCAACGTTTCTGCAACGTGGACACTGCAAAGTTCCCGTAAAACTTGTTGCTGCAACGTTTACGCGGGAACGTTCCGGAAACGGTACCAAATATATGGACACCCACATGGAATGACACGTTCCGGTACACGTTGCTCTCCACGTGGAAGGTTTCACAAGAAACGTTGAATTTTACGTTGATGTCAACGTTAATATTGTTATCTGGGTAAGTTATCGCGAGCCTATAAAACCAATTTTAAAATGAGTGAAAGCCGTTTGAGTGGATCATGTCTGTCAAGTGTGAACAGAATTAATTTAGATTGTACCGCGTTCTAGGATCGGAGACGCAGAGTTACAAGAGAAAATCTATGCAGCTATAATAACTCACCAGTTCTATTAAGATTAGAGCTTCGACTATAGAAGTTTGCGCATATTAATTTCTTACTTCTGACTCTGAAATCTTGCTGCATAATGTGATCCGATTTGGTTCAAAAGTATATTTTCTATCTCTTGTAGTCACCACCTCTTAAAATGTGCCAACTCTTATACCACTGCTTTATCTCTTTCCATGATGGTATCAAAAATTTCGAACACAGAAACAAAATCACTCACTATCTACAGCGTAGACCATGCACGCACCATGAACTGCCAACAACTGCCGGAAACTTTTTTGGAGGTGGCTGACCAACAGTTCATTCTTTCCCCGTGGACTTTGAACCCCTATACCCGTAGTCGGACGACGACGACTTGACAGTGTTGCCAAATCTATCAGGTTTAGCCATGATTATTTGCAAAAGAACCGTGCATTGATCAATACTTTAAAGAGTGTTCCCAGCAAGAGAAAATCGTCACAAAAAACGGTAGGGGGTCCAGATATTTTTTTTACAAACAGAGTTGTAAATTTTGAAATATTTGACCGAAAGTTTTGATTCTGGTCTTAATCGATGGATATTGAGTTTATCTTTCAAATGAGACCAAGATCAAGCCTTTAGCTATCTTGGCTCCTGAGCTATGGAACCAGTCCCGATACTTTTTGGACAGCCTTTTTATGAAAACAAGACTTATAAAAAAGCTGTAAGTGCGTATAAAATGATGTAGTTTTAGGCGAATAAGCTGTAAGTGACACTATTCCTCTACAGAGCCAATGAAAATAGTACTTTCAAGTGAAGTCCCGCCCTTTTCTACCAATTTCTAACCTGAAAATGTGTTCATAGTGTGGCTAAAACGCAACGAAGCAACCACTTACAGTTCTCTTGCGTAACACTAACCTAAAGTAGAAATAAATAATACTCTTTTAATGTAATTAATAGAGTCGAACTCTTTTAATCGAAATTAAAAAGGTCAATTTTTAAGAATCTTTCGGATGATTAAGTGACAATTGGACAAAGAACGGAGGCCTCTCAGTATTTTCCGGTCAGACGCTTCGAGCCCATTTTCTCAAAACTTCATTTTTACGCTTACTGCTGTCTTCGCTATCTCGGCAGAACGCCTCCACCAAAACCATGGGGCCCGATTTTTCTAAATCTACAATTTTCGTTTTTACCGTGCTCTTCAAAAGTGCTACTTGGGTTTCTGCGTGTTCTTGTAAAATTTCTAATGTCAAGCCAGAAAAACGTGCAAAAAATAGGCAGAATTAAACGCTTCGAACCACGGTTTCCCCTGATTGACATGACACTAGTGCTTACGATTGGTTGTGAATGTAACTAGTACTTTACATTTTGTCAGTTCCTTTGAGAGGCTGTCAACGGTGTCTCTATCGCACAGCAATGCAATGCTAGTTAGCTGTTTAAAATGTCGGTCACTAGGGATGTTTTGGCCCAATGTGACCATCAAAAAACTGGTCACTACGACGAACTTGGTAGTGAACATGTTAATTGTTAACAGATAACTTACTGTCAATTTCCTAACTTCCTTCTATCTTCGATTAATCTCTTTTTCAGCTTGGTACAGATGACTATGTCATTCGAAATCCTGCACAGAGTCCAATTTCACCACCATATGCCGAGTCAATCAGGGTTTTGAGCAACAAAACTGTCTATTTTTCTATCACTCATGGAAACAAAGGTGATCAAGAATCAGCATGAGGAAGTGACCCCTTAGTTCCTCCAAGCTGAAGAAGTGGAGATATTTCTGACTAAAATTCACTCTAATGTGTCGCACGGAGTAAAAGCCATCTAAAGTTACAAGATGATTCAGTCTAACATGCTTAACAAATATGGAGAAAGCAGTCAGACTCACAATCAGTGGTGTAGTAGTCAAGGAAACTTGCTGCCAACACTGAGGCCCCGGGTTCAATCTGTGGAGGTGACAGATGTGAAACGAGAGGAGCTGACGAACGGCTTAAGGCCTTTACAAGGGAAAAAGCCCCAGAGGGCAACCAATAGGCTCTGGTGAGGTAAGGTAGCGAAAATGAAAAGGCGCGCTTGAGGAGAACGAAAAGAGAATTTATTCACTCAACATGCCGGCTGACAAACGCTACAAACAAGGAAACAGATCCTTGAGATCTGGATGGAAACTAGAAAAAAGGAAACTCCATCGGCGAAAGGATAGAAAAGATGGAAAAATCGGGCAGAACCAAGATCGTCGACCGGCCGAGAGCGGAGCGAAGCACTGTCTAAAGAAGATAGCGTCGACTCAATGAACGGATCTGAACAGTTCGCCCAATCAGCGTCACAATAAACTTAATGGGTTTCCCAGTTCTGCAATAGGAATGTTTGGTTCCCTTCAAATAACGAAAGACATGCTTCACCTGTTGCCAATTGCGCATTGTTGGGTTTTGGTTGAATTGGCTGACCTTGGGTACCGTAAAAGTGAGGTCTGGTCGAGTGTTGTCGGATAAATAAAGAAGAGAACCTACTGCACTTCGATAGAGGGAGGAGTCAAACTTTTCTGTTCCCGATTGATCACTTTTAGCCATTGGTAATGGCGTTGAAGAAGTTTTACACTGTTTCATTGTTATGGAGTCTCTCCATGTTTTTTCGTAGTTCCCGCTATTGGGAGGGATGGGTGGATACGCCAGCTGCCCTGAGCCGTTGCCAATCGTGGGGTTTCCTCTGATTGACCGCTGCTCTGGGTAGCTAGCATTACCTATTCATTCTCAATTTCTTGTGCGGAAGCCTTGCTCTGTTCGTTTAAGGGAGAAAACTTGTATTTTTTACCTAAAATGTGAGTATTCTTGGAAAAGGGTGGCCCGCAGGCCACCCTAGTGTATTCCTTTCTTTCTTGTGACAGCTGGTCGGTCGGTGATGGGGATTCTTTCAATATAACACCTGTGTTATGTGTTCCATCCATCCCCTTGTGAACCGATAGCTCATCTCAAACGGCGCCCCAAGTTTGGGGCTGTGAAATCCTAATTTCGCAGTCTTCACAGAGTGAACCCACAAATGGACTGCATTTTGCAATTTGGACCTATAAATTCCGGCCCGATTAGAAAACAACGTATGTACCATATGTTTCCCTATGCACATAAGTGTTTTTTCAGATGAGCCAGAATTTATAGGTCCAAATTGCAAAATGCAGTCCAAATGATCTTAGTAATAGTAACGTACCGTGGTGTACGTAACCCCCCCCCCTTCAGCCAAGCGGATGTTCACCCATTTTCTCATGTTGTCAACAAAGATGCTTGGCGAGCTGCGTCCCGTCGCATTTTCTCTGACAACAACGTCAAAATGTTATACCTACATGGTGTTTAGACAATTTTCTCCAGTCTGGACGTCAGTACCCATCCGAAGATCACCCGCACGCATACATACTTCTCCCTTTTCTTTCTTTACGATGGACGACCTAATTTTCAACTGCGTCCCGCGTACGGACTACGATTTTGTTGATAATCTCGATTTCAAGAACCTCATCGACCGGGATCAGGTCCAAGATAGTTTTGTTATCACGCCC